AAGACACCGCCGCGTCAATCACCAGCATGGTAACGTTGGAGGCCGCTCTGGCGAAGACGCCTCCTGCGTCCGCCAAGTCCTCGGGCGCGCCGATGGCGCCCCGACGCCCTTGGCCAGGGTAGGTGAGAAAAAAAGCGGGCTGAGCCACATGGCCAGCAGCAGCACCGCCCCGGGCGGCAGCCACCAGGCGCGGCCCACGCGGCCCACGCTGCCCAGCCACTTGCGCCAAGGCGCTTCGCATGAGCGGGGCCGTCTCGGCTGGGCGCCCACTGGGCGGCCATGGCTGGCTGGCTGCGTCCGGCTCGCTCGCTCCAACTGCAAGCGGGCCGCGCTCGGCTGGGGACCCCGCGACGAGAGGATAGGCGAGACGGCGAAGGAGGACCCCGCGACTGACCAGGGGCCGGGGGGCGTCAAGCAGCTGGCAGCGCCAACGCTGGAGAGCTCGGCTGCGGCGTCGCAGCTCCCGGAGACCTGGGCGGCGTCGCCCCCGGCGAAGCTGCCCGCGAGGCCCTGCCTTGGCCGGGCGAGAGGCCCCCGCCGAAGTCGGAAGGTGTAGACGCCGCCCGCCCGCGGCGCCATCAGCCGCGCGGCGCCCCAAGTTGCTGAGGTCGCGCGTAGCGACGCCAACCCGCGCTTGCCCAGCGCAGCTGCTTCTCGCGCCTGGCCGGGCGCAGCTCGGCAAGCGCCGCGCTGGCCGACGGCGCGCCAAGGAAGACGCAGAGGCTCGAGTCGCTCACCCAGCGGCCGCCCTCGCGGATCTCGGAAAAAGGGGCCCCATCAGCGCGGGGGTCGGTCGCCCGGCGGGCGCGGGGGCCGCGCCGCAGCCCGCGCTCGCGCCCGAAGCAGCTTCGGCTGACTTGAGCAAAGTGCAACATTGGGTAATACTGCATCGGAACATCGGCTGATCATGAGGAGGCTTCTGAGCACAACTGAACAGAGCCTCGATCATGTCCGCGTAGCGCCCCGGGAGCATGGCCACTTTGGGTCGCTGAAATTTCGCGCCGAAGCGGACCTCCAAAGCCAAGACGACTGAATCGCCCACGCAGCCCCGAATAGGGGAGAATAGATGTTGGGGGCGCAGGCCAAGCATCTCGGACGATCAGAAGCCCGCATGGCACTGCAGCGCCAGGCCTTGGCCGAGACTAATTTCCCCCGTGGCCAGCAGGTTGATGTTGAGCGGCGTGCCCGGCGCCTTCCCGAGCGGGGCGGAATGCCTGGAGCCGCGCAGTACTGCGCGAGCCCATTTCAGTGCACCCATCATTCGCGGGAAAAAAAAAAGCTCCACCGCCGCCAGTGCGATGCAAAACTTGGACGGCAAGAGCGAAGATTCACTGGCATTCCCGCACTTCACCAGCACGTCGCCCCGCTGATCTGCGCCGACGGGGCTGCGAGAGTCGGCGAGCGCCCGCGACGAGAAGCCGCGGGCCTCGCGGCGATGCGTCTCTATAATCCGGGGCTGGACCCGCTCGATCTGACGGCAGCCCAGACGTCGAAGCCCGCGCCGCCGCGTGTGCGACGGGGCAGCCGATCGACTGCCGGCGCTTGGCATCCACCCAGGACATACGTGATGCCAGATGCTAGACTCAGGCCCGCGCGGCGTCGGAGCTGTAGGTCGAGGCCCGCTGCCGCCGAGCGGCCCTTTGGCTGCGGCCGCCGAGAGGCCCTCGTTGCCCCCGGGTTCGCGACGAAGTAGCCGCGCGCGCCAGGGGCGCGACCGAGCGCGACCAGCAGCTTGACGGCCGCCCGCCCTTCGCCCAGCAGCGCCCAGCGCGATGTGGCCAGGGCGCCCCAGCGCCCCGCCCCCAGCACAGCCCGGTCCCGCGGCGGCCTTTCCAGCGAGCTCCGCGGGGCGCGGCGGACCGCGATCCGGTTGGCGATCTCGCGGTCAGCCCCGTTGACGCGACCCGCGCGGCCGTCGAGCCCGGCCGCCGCGCGCCCAGGGCGCGCCCCCGCCGCCGCCGGCGCCTCCATCTCATCGGACGGAGTTAGGCAGCTCCCATGAGCAGCCAGCCCTTGTGGTCGAAG